TAGCATGAATGACAGTTCAGAGGATTCCCTTTCAAGTGCAGATTTGAAAGGTCTTTGTAGTAGGATGCAGGTAGTTAAGTCGTTGAGACAGTGTCCTTTCTAGTTGAAATGGCAAGAAACTTTTTTCTTTGTGATCCTGTCTGATATCTGTTTTGTGGGCATTGATCCTTTGGCAAAGTGTCTGAGACGTCTGTCCAATGTACATAGCAGACGGACACTTTCGGCACATGATAGCATAAATTATATTTCTGGATGCACAGGAATATGGTGCAGGAATATGTGTTCTTGATCTTATAACTTATAAGTTATAAGATCAAGTTATAAGATCAAGAACACATATTCCTGTGCATCCAGAAATATAATTTATGCTATCATGTGCCGAAAGTGTCCGTCTGCTATGTACATTGGACAGACGTCTCAGACACTTTGCCAAAGGATCAATGCCCACAAAACAGATATCAGACAGGATCACAAAGAAAAAAGTTTCTTGCCATTTCAACTAGAAAGGACACTGTCTCAACGACTTAACTACCTGCATCCTACTACAAAGACCTTTCAAATCTGCACTTGAAAGGGAATCCTCTGAACTGTCATTCATGCTAAAATTCGACACTCTACATCTGAGTTTAAACAAAGGATCTAGTTATCTTACCCATTACAAAGATAGCTTCCCCAATTATCACCTCTAATATCATTAGCCCACAGACATTCACCTTCCCCCCCACCCATCCCCCTTCTGTTCTGAAATTTGATTTGTCCTTTTCATATGTGTTCATTTTTTTTAATTGTATCCTTTGGTATATATGGTTGTGACTATTTTCTTCCACTACTTGATCTGAGGAAGTGGGTCTGGCCCACGAAAGCTCATCATCTAATAAACCATCTTGTTAGTCCTGTATTTTGTACCAGCTAAGGATTTGATCTTTGATCATACCAAGGGAACTATATTAGGAGAGCAACATGGGGCATTATGGAGTATCTAAATTTCATCATGGAACCTGTTGCTGGAGCATCATGGGCCCCAAATTTACAGGAGGGTAAAGGTGCTACTGCTGGCTTCCTGCACAAAGCAGGATATACTCCCTGTGACTGCACTTGCATTTCTGCTGAGGATATGGATGTAGCTTATTAGTGTGCATCTCCCCTCTGTGATGAAGGACAAAAGCTGAAAATCCAAGAGAACAATGTCTCTTATTTACCATAAGGCATAGATAGTGGAAATCCCAAGAAGTTAATTAAACAGGGTCAGATGCAATTGACTCAGGCCTCCTTTCAATCCATATTATTTTCTTTATCTTGACGGGTATTGTTAATTGTGACCTTCTATTTGAAGTTAAATAAATCTCATTTATACTTCTAGCCATTAATTCCAAAATATGTCCATGCTAAGCAACCATTCAGCAACTGTATCAGTCTTTACTTAATACATATACTCTAAATATCACCAAACATGTTAGGTCTCTTGAACAAAAGCAAAACATCTGACACAAAGCTAACTGATCTATTGTCTCCTTGAGGCTCTCATGCAGCTTCATAGTCATGGTGAGATTTATCAATTCATACTGAGGGAAATAAAACCCATATCTAGCTCTGGTCTTGCTTGTCCTCACTAGCATGTAATTAGAAGATATTTTTGCAGGGAACTGAACAATTGCTCAGGCTATGTACTTAAGCCAAATAATGGTGGAATAGGCAATGAGACAGGTACGAGCAATCACATCACATAGCTACTGACACCTGCTAAAGAAGAACACCATGTGACTTGTAACAGAACAGATGCCATATAAATTTCTCTTCTAATTCAAACAGTATAATGTAATCTAGCATGCTGTAGTTTACAAACAGATAGAGTTTAAATGAAATTAACATATCATTAAAAATGTGCCAAGTTAATAGGAGGGAAAACCTCCAGTTGTGTACACTTTAAATAACACAGTATTGATTTATCCAGCAATCTCCTAGCAAAATGGCAAATGTTCTGCACTATCTGATTTAGATTTTGGTTGCTCATAAAACTAAAAATAACACCGATAACTGCTAACAGTAGCAGAAAAAAATGAGAATTAAATTGTGCTCTTGTCTCTTTACAGCCTCTCTTATATCTTGTTTACCTCTGTGATGTAGAAATTAACAAAACTAGCACGGGACATGTAGGTCAGACTTAAACATGAACACAGATTTAAAGACGTGAAGAGTTATAAGAGTGTATATGATTTCTTTAACTCTTTGATGGTGGATCACAGCACAGAAACAACAGGTTAAATCCTGCCACCTTGAAGTCAATGGGAATTTTGCCATTGACTCAATTATACCATCATTTCATCCATAATATAAAGAAACAGAAAAGATATATAAATTCAGTAACTGTTTTTTTTCTTTTCTTTGACTAACCTTTTAAATCACAAGGAACATAATTACAATTGCATTATAATAGGGAAAAGAATGTCCATCTTGATGCTAGCTCCACAGCTGGTGTTGCTTTGTGTATAAAGCTAACTTTTTAGAAATGTTCACTTATTAATTAAAAGGAGCTTTTTATATTTTTCTTCTGGGCAATCTTGAACTGAAATTAAGGCTTCAAGAATTGTACTGAAGAGGCTGTTTTGTATAAAGGTTTATTGTTTAGTCTGCTTACCTAGAGAAGCCGTAGCTTTTCCTACGACATATGTTGATTTTGTGTTCCATTTTTCTTTGAAAGAATTTCTCCAGGCTGTAAAACATTACATTATGTGTAAGCATTTGGCAATAAAGCATAAATAGCAGAGTATTTGGACTTCTGCCCAAAAGACTGCTTATTTATCTTGAGAAATATGTAAGTTTACCAAAATAATAATGAATACTACACTATAAAAAGTCAGCAATTCTACATGCACAAAATAAAGATTTTAAATTAGTTATACTGTTCCATATAAAATTGTCTATAAAATGCTTCAAAAAGCTTTGGTTGAACAAATACTGTTTTCAATTACTTGGCTAAGTAGTATTTTTAATGCATACTTGCACAGTACCAGATAATCTGTAACTGGTAATGCTCATTTATATTTTGACATTAATTAGGAATAAAATCACATTTGAATGTGCAGAAGAAAAAGAATTCCAAAGCAAAAAGTGTATAATAAATTAATATGATAATTTCGTATTATGGAATATCCCTATTGCATCTAAATTCAGTCTTAAAACTGAAAGCTTAGCCAGAGAATAAATGCAAGATTTCTGTCAACAAATCAAAGAATGGTAAATAAATCCTATATTCATGCACTGGAATACTTTCATATACAGCTATGTTATTTTATAAAAATAATAAAACAAACGCAACTGTGATGTGAATAAAAAAGAAACAACAAATCTATCAATATGGGGAAAATATTATACCAGAGAAGCAGACACAAAAATGAAATGGCAGGGAAATAGTTTTTCTTACTGAAAGTATTTGCTAAATTATAGCTTCACACTGAACAATGTTTTTCAGCTCCAGCCTCCTCCTTCCAATTCCTGAGAAAGTGACAGAGCAAAGATGGATCTGATAGGTCTCCTATTATAATACCTTATATAAAACAATAGTCGAGACTCACATTAATATATATACTGAGTTCATTTCTGCCCTTCAGTTTTTTTGAAATGCTTAATAGAAATAGAAACGTCCTGAGAGGCATGAAAAAAGAATAGAAAGAAGAATGACCAAAGCCCACAGGTAAGTGAAAAACATGGAGACCTGGGAGATGGGTCAGAAATGAGAGAGCGCATGGGCTATAACAGCAGACAAGGCATAAATGGGGGGCAAAATCAAATCCGTATCTTAGATGCCTATATACAAATGCAAGAAGTTTGTAAATAAAATAAGGAAGAATTTGAAGTGCTAATAAACGCACAAAACTATGACATAGTTGGTATCACAGAGACTTGGTGGGATAATACACGTGATTGGAATATTGGTATAGCAGGGTACAGTTTGCTCAGAAGAAGAGGCAGGGGAAAAAAAGGAGGAGGTGTTGCCTTATATATTAAAAGTGCATACACTTGGACTGAAGTTAAAATGGACATAGGAGACACACCTGCTGAGTGTCTCTGGGTTAAGTTAAAAGGGGTAAAAAACAAGACTGACGTCATGCTAGGGGTGTACTACAGACTTGGGTGAACGTGATCATGAATTCATAGAGTTCATGATTCTAAGGAATGGTAGAAGGGAGAACAGCAAAATACAGACAGTGGATTTCAGGAAAGCAGATTTTGGTAAGCCCAGAGAGCTGGTGGGAAAGGACCCCAGGGAAGCAAGACTAAGGCTGCGTCGAAACTATACCCCACTGTTGGCAGAGGGATGTAAATTAGATGTATCAAAAGTGCAAATGAAGCGGGATTTAAATATTCCGTGCTTCATTTGCATAATAGTGGCTGCCGCTTTTTTTCGAAATGGGGATTTTCGGAAGAAACCCGCCCTCCCCGTGGCAGTTTAGATGGGCCATTTTCAACAGAAATACCCTGTTTCGAAAGATCCTGTACTCCTCATTCCTTTCAAAAAGGAATCTCATAAAAAGTGGAAACTAGATGAAATTACAAACAACACAAGAATGCAGGGGCAAGATTAGAAAAGCAAAGGCACAAAAACAAGTTTAATCAAGTTAGTGGTAACAAGACAACATTCTACAAATATATTAGAACCAAGAAGACGACCAAGGACAATGTAGGCCAATTGCTCAGTGAAGAGGGACACACAATAACAGGAAAATTGGAAATGGCAGAGATGTTTGTTTAATGACTTCTTTGTTTTGGTTTTTACCAAGAAGTTTGATGCTGACAGGATGCCTAACATAGTGAATACTAGTGGAAATGGGGTAGGTTTAGAAGTTAAAATAGGAAAAGAACAAATTAGAAATTTCTTAGAAAAGTTAGATGTCTCCAAGTCACCAGGCCCTGATGAAATGCATCCGAGAATACTCAAGGAGCTGATAGAGGAGGTATCTGAGCTTTTAGCTATCATCTTTTAAAAGTCATAGAAGTTGAGGAGATTGAAGAACACTGAAAAAGGGCAAATATAGCGCCCATCTATAAAAAGGGAAATAAGAACAACCCAGGAAACTACAGACCAGCCAGTTTAACATCTGCGCCAGGGAAGATAAGGGAGCAAGGAATTAAGGAATTCATCTGCAAACATCTGGAAGATAATAAGGTGATAGGTAATAGCCAGCATGTATGTGTAAATAACAAATCATGTCAAACCAATCTGACAGCTTTCTTTGATACGATATCAATCCTTGTGGATAAGGGAGAAGTGGTGGACGTGGTATACCTACACTTTAGTAAGGCTTATATGGTCTCACATGATCTTATCAATAAACTACATAAATATAATTTAGATGGGGCTACTATAAGTTGGCTGCATAACATTTCTGAGAGAGTAGTTATTAATGTTAATTCACAGTCATTCTAGAAGGGAATAACAAGTGGGGTTTTGCAGGGGTCTCTTATGGAACCAGTTCTGTTAAATATCTTCATCAACAATATTATGATGGCATAGAGTACTCTTACTATGTTTCCAGATGATACCAAGCTTTGGAGAATAGTAAGGTCATAATTCAAAATGATCTGGACAAACTAGAGAAATGGTCAAAGGTAAATAGAATAAAGTTTAATAAGGACAAATGCAAAGTACCCCACCTAGGAAAGAACAATCAGTTTCATACATACAGAATGGGAAGTGACTGTCTAGGAAGGAGTACTGCAAAAGGATCTAGGGAGTCAAACCGGACCACAGGCTAAATATGAGTCAACACTGTGACACTTGCAAAAAAAACCAAACATGATTCTGGGATGAATTAACAGGAGTGTTGTGAGCAAGACACAAGAAGTCATTCTTCTGCTCTACTCAGCACTGATTAGGCTTCAGTTGAAGTACTGTGTCCAGTTCTCGGTGCCACATTTCAAGAAAGTCCAGAGAAGAGCAACAAAAATGATTTAACGTCTAGAAAACATGACCTATGAGGCAAGGCTGAATGAATTGGGCTTGTTTCATTTTGAAAAAAGAAGACTGAGAGGGGATATGATAGTGGTTTTCAAGTATCTAAAAGTGTCTTACAAGGAGGAGGGAGAAAAATTGTTCTCCTTGGCCTTTGATGATAGGACAAGAAGCAACGGGCTTAAATTTCAGCAAAGGAGATTTGAGTTTGACATTAGGAAAAAATTCCTAACTGTCAGGGTGGTTAAACACTGAAGCTACGTCTACACTGGCATGAATTTCCGGAAATGCTTAAAACGGAACACTATTCCGTTTTCAGCTTTTCCGGAAAAGGAGCGTCTACATTGGCCGTGGAGTTTCCGTGATAACGATGTGCTTTTCCGGAAAAGCGCATCTACATTGGCGGCGCGCTTCTCCGGAAAAGCAAAAACCCGGAACCATTTTGAAAAGGGCAAAGGCCACCAGACCTTTCCGGGGGCGGGGCCGGAGCTCCGTCCAGACGTGTGGTTAAATGGGTCTCGCCGGGCAGCCATTGGTCTTGTGCTCCCATGCCTTGGGACCTCTGCCAGGGACTGGCACCCTTCACAGAGTCAGTGGTTGCCCTGCGAGTTTTGGGGACACCACCCTTTGGCCCCCAACTGCTTTTCCCAGCGTCTTCTTTTGTCTGCCCTGCTCTATCTGCCATGGAGCCGTGGGTGGCCATGTACCTGCTCGGGCCCCTGTTGGACCTGTACAGGTGCCTGGAGCTCGTGCTGCAGGCTGGTGCCCTGGCGTTCATATACCAGGAGGAAGAGATCGCCTTGGACTCCCTCACCAGGGAGGTCCTGGCAACCGCGTGGCATCAGCACCCGACCATAGACCGGCCCATCTGGACTTTGGAGACGAGCACCGACTGGTGGGACCGTGTGGTCCTTGGACAATGGGACGACCACCAGT